TGGTGGTGGTGGTGGTGGAGGCCGGGGTCGGGGTCTCCGTGCTGGTGGTGGTCGGGGTGGTGGTTGTGGTTGAGGATGTGGTGGTTGGGGCCGTGGTTGGGGACTCGGGACACTCATACATCGGCAGGCAACAATTGACACGTATTTCATAATCATAACAGACCGCGAACGGCCCATTTCCAAACTGGTCTTCGTTGAGGCAAATGAACCCTGAGGAGACATCACACTGTACCTTCTGGCCCGTCTCCTCCCAGCTGAGCTCTGGCTCTGTGGCCAACCTGCACTGGATGTCCTCGGGTTCCCTGCAGACACTGTCGAATTTCTCCCAGTCTCCACCGGTGCTGTCCATGCTGGGGTGGTTCTCATTGATCCAGTCGGACCAGAAGCAGCACACATCTGGGGAAGCAAATCCAGGATCGGATTGGTCACCGAGCCTGGACGCAGCTTCCGGGGAGCCCCCTGGGACTGGCATGACCGCCCTCCTATCACGGCCAAAGAGCTAGGGTGTTGTCGGCTCAGAGAGTGTGGGCCCGGCTCCGCTTCCTCCCTCCTCCTGCAGCTCCACACTGAGCCCCAGGGAAGGAAGAGCCCCTCACGCCACACCTGGGTGACAGCCGGACCCCCGGGCTGCAGCCCTCTGCCCCTCCCTTGGCTGTTTTCAAATGCTGATGTCCCCCTGAAAACAATTAGCATGGACAGGGTCAGCCATTCCAATGAGAAAGCCCACGGGAAGGGGCTCGGTCTGGACGCTTGAACAACAGTGTCACCCCGAGCCGCTCCTTCCCCTGTGCGTCAGCCAGGCACCCGTGAGTCCCAGGGGGTCATGCCACGCAAAGCACCCTCTCTGGTGAAGTGAGCAGCACGGGCCACGGGCCCCACATCCGCATCTCCTGGGCAGTTCCCGGAGCAGCTCCGGGTGCCCTGTCCCCCACACCCACCCAGCTCGGGGACACTGCCCACACAACTTACTGGGAGTGGTTGAGGACGGGGTCGTTGAGGAGATGGTCGTTGCTGCACAAGAGCCAGAAAGGAAAGGAGGCTGTCACTAGAGATTTTGACACCTTTAAAACTCTTTTATAATTTTTACAAGTCCCTTTTTCCCGTGGCTACCACACCCCCGTGGCTCATCCGGTGACGGCTCCCACCTCAGTGAGAACAACCATGGGGGGATTTAAGGACCTTCCTCTGCTTCTCTAAGTCTCAGGGGTATTTTCTTGCTGGTTCAGGAAGTGTTCCTAGGTCACCTTCACTGCGGTCTGGGCTCAGGGATGTGGCCCTGATGCCACATCTCAACTCGGCAGGCCAGGGGCCCCGGTGACGTCCCCTGAACGGAGACGCCTGTGAGCTGCGTGCACCCCCCCCCCCCATTTCAGCTGGGCCCGGGGCCTCACCTGTGCTGGGGATGGGGGTGGGGGTGGTGCTCGTGGTGCTGGTGACGGGGGTGGTGGAGGGTGGCAAGGAGGACGAGGGAGGCGAGGTAGGCTGGCAGATGTTGAAGTGTTTCTCCACTGTCCCGTTGGGACCGCAGATCACCCAGTAGCAGAAAGACCCGTCCTGGGTATAGTTGAGAATCTTCCCTGGGGGACGGGCAGGAGGCCAAGGTCAACATGGCAAGAACAAGACAGAGCCTCTCGAGCACCCCCTGCCCGTCCCAATCAGAGAAAGACTAGGTGTCCCCCAGCCCCGACCAGCGGCAGACCGATCTGCCACCGGGACTCCATCCCCAGAAACCCATCGGAGCGCAGAAGCCGGATGGCACAAGGGGTGACCTCGGCCCTTCATCACAGGCCTGGGGAGGCCGGTGCAAGCCAGAGCCGGCTCTGAGCCAGGAAGGGCCTCTGGGGACCGCAGGAGCAGGGGAGGGTGACACTGAGCCCCACCCCCACAGTCCAGGGACAGGCAGCTTGGTGGCTCTCCTGGGCGGGAGGGCAGCTCACCTTCTTCGGGCCGGCAGACAACTTCCGAGGAGTTGGTACACATGCTGCAAAGCAAGCACAGAGCTGCAGACCCCGAGCACACACCCCCCGCCCAGGCCCTCCCTGGTGCACCCCGGGTGCAGCTCCAAAGGAGCCTGCCCACTGGGGTCTAGCTGTGGGCCGAGGAGGACAAGCTGAGGCAGGCAAAGGCCAGACAGAGCAGGAGAATGAGAAGAGACAGGCTGGCCTGTCCCCACGTCCTGTTCCCGTGTCTACACCTGCGGGTGTGCGCCCCTGGCCGTGCGTCCACACCCACACACACGAATGTGTGGTGTGTGCGTGTAGGCATATGCTCGCGCGTGCACCTGTGCACGCGAGGCCACGTCACGCGTGCGCGTGCGCCCGACCTCCCCCGGGCTCCCTGCAGGGCGGACTTAGGTACCAAGACTGGCAGTCCTTGTCGGAGGGCACGGACGCTCCAGGTGGGTAACGGGTGTCCTCGACGTAGCAGCCACACTGGTCGGCCGTGACGCACTTCTTCTTGTCCTCGTCGTAGATGGGCCTGTCCTTGGGGCACCGCGGGTAGCAGCCTGGTAGGCACAGGGCACAGGGCTTGGGCCGCCGCGGAGGATCCCACATCCTCCGGACCCCACCGTCGTGCCCACCATGTCAGGGCCTTCTCTCCAGGAGGTTCCTCCGGGAAGTCCTAGGTACCCCCTCGCTGGGCCCTGCACACTGCCATAGGGCCAAAGGGATGGCCAGGCCCCTCCCAGCCTCCTGGGGAGGTGGGGGAGGGCACTCCCTCCCCAGATCTGCAGGTGTCTCACCCCTTCACATCCCTAGTTCTCAACTCCAAGGCCCTAGGGAGGTTCCCCGGGACCCCTGGGTGAGACACCCGCCCGTCCTGCTTCCTTCCGCCTCTCCGCCTGGGCGGGGTCTCGGCTTTACAGCGAGGTGGGCCTGGTCCGCCCCGGACCTCAGGTCCCCAGCCCCACAGGGCCTCTCCCAGGCGACCCTGCGGGTCTGCAGAGGACCCTGTGCCTCGGCCCCCAGGGCTCGCTCACCCTCCAGGTAGGACACGGAGATGTTGGAGTGGATCCCGTTGACCGTCCTGCAGGTCTCAAAGCTGCGGTTCCCACACGGCTCGTAGTGCCACTCGCACTCGTCCGGGGGGTTGTAGTAGTCACAGAAGATGGCTGTGGGGGACGCGGGGTCAGATCCAGGGAGCGCGAGGCCAGCTCCCTTCTGGCAGCCCACGCGCCACCCTGGCCCCGAGCAACGGCTCTCAGGAGGGAAAGAGACTGCAAACACCCCATCCCTTGGGCGGGTAAGGAGGGCCAGCCCACCCACAGTGTGGCCCCCGCCCCAGGACAGGCGGGCACTCACGGCACAGGTCTGGCGTCCTCCAGAACACGCAGGCCCCCTCCTTCGTGCACGCCTGGGCGTAGGAGGCCACGGCAGAGCAAAAGCACTCACAGTCCCCGCCCGTGTCGCAGGAGCACGAGTCATGGACGCAGGCCTCATAGAATGGCTTGGGGTCCACCTGGGGGAGAAGACCTCTGTGCCCTGGGCCCGCACTGCCCTCATGGGGCCGGGCCTGCCCCTGCAGCCCAGGAGCTCAGGACCCCCAGGGCAGGGCACGGCCACCCAGCACTAGCCTCCCAGGGGGCCGGCAGGGGAGGTCCAGAGACAGGGGGGGGCCACCCCTCCCCTCCTCCCCTCCCCCCCCCCCAACTGCCCGGAGCTTCCGTCCTTTCTCCCTCCCTGGAAGACATGAGGGCTGGGGACCCAGCTAGGGGTCTCCGGGAGGGCCGGGCCTCTGGTAAAGGCCAGAAAATGGAGCTGAAGCTGGAGGAGAGGAGGCACATGGTGACCTCAGGGCGCTCCTCAGCGGGAGCAAGAGGAGCCACCCTGCGCAAGGATCCATGCCTTCCACCGCCACGGCCCCGCCTACGGCCCCGCCCACGCGCACAGCCCCGCCCAGGCCCGCCCCCACGGCCCCGCCTACCGCCCCACCCCTCCCAGGCCCGCCGCCACGGCCCCGCCCACGCACCTTGCTGTGGCAGACGGCAAAGACCCGGCTCTTGATGATGCTGCACTGCTTCTCGGCCCAGGAGAGGCGGTGCGGCCTCAGGGCGCAGGGCTCCGGGGTGAAGCTCACGTCCGGGCAGGTAGGGGCCTCCTTCCAGCTGTTCCCGAAGTCCAGCTCGCTGTCCACCACCATGTGGTCCCTCGTGGTGAAGTCGTTGCTGGAGCGGCGGTCGAAGTTCCCACACAGCCCGCACACCGTGCCCTGCGGAGGCAGCAAGCCCGGGGCGTGGTGCGGCGGCTCCCGCCCGCCTGGGAGGGCGGCTCGGCCCCTCCTGCGCCCCGGGGGCCCGGCAGCCGGGCGCTGCCACGCACCTCGTAGGACGGCGCCAGCTTGATGAAGACGGTGGTCCTCTTGTCCCAGATGACGATGACGCCCACGCTGGCCTCTACCACCAGGTACTGGCCCACCTCCCGCGTGGTGTAGGACACGTGGTGGCCCACGTCTCGCTGGATCACCACGCGGTGCTTGCCCTCCAGCTTCAGCTCCAGACTCTGTGCCCAGGGGAGAGGCCCTGTCACTGGGCGCCCGAAGCATCCCCGAGGGCTCGCGAGTCCCCGGCATCAGGCGGCACTCACCCCCATGAAGATTTTGATGGCCTTGGAGCAGGTGACACCCGTGGTGCCACAGGGAACGTTCTCGGTGATGATGCTGAAGGAGCCCAGTGAGGAGTTCTGGCCACAGTAGTCCTGGGGACCCACGGGGGACGTGAGCCACACTGGCCCGGCCACCGCGGCCCCGGGCCCCCACCCAGCCTCAGCCCTCCTCTGGTAAGAGGGGGCCCTTAACGGCACACACAAGCCCCTCACTCCCCGGGCCCCTCACTGGGGACCCCTTCTTGCTGGGCTGAGAGTGGCTTTAGGACGTGGTGCGGGGCCACGGGCCGGGGGCAGGGCCACGCCGCTGGCCTCACCTGAGCCGCCACGTAGGAACAGTGTCCATCAAAGTCGTAGTGCTTTCCGTCGAACGTGATGTAGTGGCCGCTTCCGTAGATGGAGCAGGAGCCGTAGCACACGGCCTGCGTGCACGCCCAGCGGCCCCTCCGGCAGGTGCTGGGGAGAGTGGGAAGGGGGCCTGGAGGGGCCGCGGGGGTTCAAGTCCCCCCAGCCCTGCTCAGAGGGAGCCCGGCGGGCCGGGCGCTGTGCGGACAGCCCCGGAGCGGCTCACGAACCATACCCACACCCCCTACCCCCCGCCAGAGCTCCTGGGGCCGGGGTCAGTGGGCCACCCACCAGGTGTTGCAGTCCACCTTGATCTTGTCCCCAGGGGAGTACAGGTCCTTGTTGTGCACACAGGGACACTGCCCTTCCACGACGCAGCCGCCGCGGCCGTCATCCAGCAGCCCGTCCGGGCAAACACAGCCGCTGATGCACTCCGTCTGGTACTGCAGGGGGCCGGAGTGGCGTTCAGGGATTTGCTTCGGGGCCCGGAGCTGGCCCCGTCACTGCCGCCCCCTTTCCTGACCCTGGCAGACACCCCTTTGTCCCTTCCCCACCCACAGACCCCGGCCCTCTCTCCTCTCTCGGGCTCTGCCCTGGGCCGGGGTGCAGGCAAGGGCTGCCGGCCGAGGGTCCCTCAGTGGGCCGGACGGGGGGGGGGGGGGGG